TGCGCCGCCTCAGCCCCTCGCGCAGCGTCGCGCAGTGCCTCCGCGACCTGGTGGCCATGCAGTGGGCCGACGCGGCCGGAGAGGCAGCGCCTGAGGGCCCTGACGGAGGGGGGGCGTGGCTGGAGGGCGAGCCCGGGCAGGGGACCCTGGTGGAGCGCGGCCGGGCAAGGAGCCTGGAGACCGGCGACTGGAGAAAGGCTCCAAAAGAGGGAAGTGTTTGGAGGGGGGCCCAGGTGGAGAAGGCGTGGGAAGGAGGGCTGGGGACCAGAGACCGGAGTGGCGGCGGGGTTAAGTTAGAAGGCGAGAAGGGCAGGGCGTTGCAGGTCAGAGAGTGGAGAGAGGGTCAGCTGGAGAACCAGAAGGCGAGGGGACTGGAAGGGAGCGTCTGGAGAGGGCCCCTCTTGGAGAAAGGGCTCTTGAGAGGGCCAGAGGTCAGGGACTGGAGGGGGGCCCAGGCGGAGGGCGAGAAAGACTGGAACCTGGAAGGTTGTGTCTGGAGGGGGGTCCAGCTGGAGGAACAGGAGCTAAGAGGACTGGATGGGTACACTCGGAGGACGGCCCAGCTGGAGGAACGAAGGAATTGGGCACTGGAGGCCGCAGGGCGCAGGGGGACCCAGTCTGAGTATGGAAGAACCAGGAGTTTGGACGGGAGCCCCTGGAGTAGGGAGCAGCTGCAGGAAGAAGGGGCAAGTGGGCCGAAAGCTGGGGAGTGGAACGGGGCCCAGTTGGAAACGGAGAGGGGGCTGGAGGTCAGAAGCTGGAAGGAGGTCGCTTTGGAGAGATCCCTGGAGTTGGTCCCTGAGAACGCAGACCAAAGGGGGCCTCAGTGGGGAGATGAGAGGAGGAGAGGTCCCGAGGTGGCAGAGGAGAAGGGAGAGAGGGTGGGGGTCAAAAGGAGGAGAAGCCTGGAGGACGTGGTTCTGGTCCAGCTGGGGGACACAAGGGTTCCGGGCATGGAGAACGGAGACGGCGGGGCAGCCCGGTCTGTGGCCCCCAAGAGCCAAGCAGGACAGGCAACGGAGTGGGGAGATGGGGGAGGGAGGTGTCTGGGGCTGGGGGATGGAGTCGGGTGCGGCACCCCCGTGGGGACTGTCTTTGACGGCAGTCCAGAATGGGCAGCCGCAAGTGACCACCTGGCCGCGGGAGAGAGCCCGCAGGAAGGAGGCAAAGGGGAAGGCCCCAGGGAACCAAAGAGGCTCTGCCGCTCCTCGGGAGAGGAAGAGCTGGACTGGGAGCCCCTGGCCAAATTCCGAGCAGCCTGTGGGCCTGAGCTGGCAGACCTGGTGGCCGAGGAGCTGGCCTTTGCTAGGCTGCACGGCACCCGGGGCTTCCACTGGACCGGAGCCGGCTTTGCCCTTAAGGACGGCACCTCGGACTTCTTCCTGGACGGGGCCCTGACACGCTGCAGCTGCTCCATCCACGCCGCCCGCCGGCTGCCCTGCCGACACCTGTTCGCAGCGCGCCTTCTCACCGGGGCAGCCTTATTCCACATGGACCTGCTCAGGGATTGCTGGGGGAGAGCACCAGAGCCCTGACCCTTCGGGCCTCTGCCCACCACCCTCCACTGCGAGGGCGGAGGGCATTCTTCGATCCCAAAGATTAACAGGGCTGAGGCCAAGGAGACCACCTCAGTCCCTCTGGCCACCTCCTGGGTCATCCAGGGACCTCACCCTAGCGGTTTGCCTCTCCTGGGTCCAAGGGGAAGCTGCCCATCATCTCTGAGGTCATGGAGCCACAGCTGGAGGAGGTGTGGATGGTCAGTGTGGATTCTGAGGGCTTCTCTCAGGAGAGGAAGTGTGTGAGGAGAGGTGTAGACAGGGTCAGGCCAGGGCAGAAGCAAGGAAAAGGGCCGAACTGGGGGGAGGGGGTGGACACCAGGGTGCGTCTGGCAAGAGCAGACTGGTCAGTCTCGGGAGGGCAGTCGTCAAAGGGATGAAGGCAAGGGAGGACGTGTAGAACAAGAGCCAGATGCAGGTGACAGAGATGGAGGAGAGGAGACAAGTGGAGAAAAGAGGGGAAGCTGGGGAAGAGGAGAAGGAGACAGGGATGGAGGAGAGGGAAGGATAAACAGACGAGGTGAAGGGAGGGTATGAGAGGTGGGGAGAGAAGACACGAGGGGAATGATGTTGGTATTTCTCCAAGACCCGAAACTTGAACCCCCCCTTTGCCTTCTGAAGAGTGAGTGAGAGAGTGCCCCAGGAGTCTGGGGGAGTGAGCTGGAGACTCTCCAGCGGGAGAGGGGAATTGTTTGGACTATTGTGCTTCAAAATTGGAATAAAACAGTATTATTTTGGTTTCTGTACTGAGTTCTTGGCTTCTGGGGGAGGGTGGGAGGCCCAGATCCTCTCAGAGGAAAGTCGAGATGGTCCAGCATTCCCCCAGTGTTTCCATCAACAAAGCCTCCCAGGGCCAGATGATGTAGGAGCCACGATGAATTCATCTCCATGACAACTCAGGCCTCCTCCTCTTCCGTCTGGACCAGCATGCCACAGTAGCACCTTCCTGACATCCATCAATTCTACCTTCAGATGACCAACTCATGCCAATTGTCCTTGCCAGAATGTGACCCAGTCCTGGCCAATGAGTCTGCTCAGGTTTAGGTGGGAGTCTTCTCATAAAGATTCTTTCATTCCTCGGAAGACCTGATTGTGATGGTCAGTCTTGGACTCCACACTCAGGGTGTCAGAGCTAAGAGATGAGGAAAATCTGGATTTTCACTTGGCTTAGTGGAGTCTCTGCAGTCTGTTTTTCCATGGGGCTTCTTAAGTAAAAGATATCTTACTAAGGGTGGTTTGGCTTGTGGTTTCTGTTGCCACCACTGCTGAAGGGGATTTAATTCTTTCATTTCATAGGTAACAAAAGCCAGGTAGAAGTAACTCAGCACTTTTCAAATTTTAATGTGACCATGAATCACCTGGGCATCTTGCGAAAATGCAAAGTTGGATTCAGTAGGACTGGTCTTGAACTCCTGGACTGAAGCAATCCTCCTGCCTCGGTCTTCCAAAGTGCTGGGATTACAGCAGGTGTGAGCCGCCGTGCCTTTCCACTTCTGCACTTGGTGTGAGGGATTCCTTCAAGGTTCTCTTCCCTGGCTGAGAAAGACAGCTACCAGAAGTTCCCAGTGCACATCGTCATATCTTGATCTTAAAAGACCTTTTTACCAGCATGCAAATATTCAATATCAAGGAAGAATCTGATTGGATTTACTAAGGGTATCAGTTATCTGGGGCCACATTAATGCTGTGTTAACAACCATAAATAACACTTCAGAGTTATATAATAATAAACATGTATTGCTTATGTGTTTGGGGTCACCTGGGGAATGGGCCAAACTCTTGCTTTTCAAGGTGTGAGTGGGTGCGGTGGCTCATGCCTGTAATGCCAGCACTTTGGGAGGCCTAGCCAGGAGGATTGCTTGATCCCAGGAGTTTCAGACCAGTCTAGGCAACATAACAAGACCTTGTCTCTGTGATAAAGTTAAAAAAAAAAAAAAAATTAGCCAGGCATAATCGCACACACCTGTAGTCCCAGCTCCTTGGGAGGCTTAGGTGGAAGGATGGCCTGAGCCCAGGAGGTCAAGGCTGCAGTGAGCTGTGATCATGCCACTGCACTCCAGCCTGTGTGATTGAGTGAGATCCTGTCTCAATAAATAAATAAATGAACAAAAAAAAAAAGTTTGTGTGTGGGAGTGGAGGGTGGCAAATACCACCTTCCTTCTCCTTTTGCTCTACTCAGGTCCTCAACAGACTGATTGATGCCCACCCACACTGGGTGGGGAAGGCCATCTATATCACTGAGTCCAGCAATTCAAATGCTCATCTCATCTAGAAACACCCTCATGGACACACCAGAAATAACTTTTAAGCTGGGTACCCCATGGCCATTCAAGTTGATACTTAAAATTTAACTATCACACTTGTTAAAACACAGATTTCTGGGTCCCACCCCCAGAGTTTCTGATGGAGTAGATGTGAGGCAGGGTCTGAGCGTTTGTATCTAATACATTCTCAAATGATGCTGATGCTTCTGGTTCACAGACCACCTTGGGAGAACCACTGCTGTGATCATTTGTTCTGGAATTATGCCTATCCCTGTAGCAGGCTGACTGGGCAGAGAGAATACCCAGGGTGCCAAAGAGTTGGGAGAAAGGGTAATTAAAGAAAGGAAGCAGGAAGGCAAATACAACGGCAATCTAGTGCAGACCAAAGCAAAATCCCTTCTGTGTGTGTGTGTGTGTGTGTGTGTGTGTGTGTTGAGTCAGAGTCTCACTCTGCTGCCCAGGCTGGAATACAGTGGCATGTTCAAGGCCACCGCAGCCTCAACCTTCTGGGCTCAGGCAATCTTTCTGTCTCAGCCTCCAGAATATCTAGATCTACAGGTGTGTGCCACCATGCTCAGTTAATTTTTTGATTTATTGTAGAGACAAGATCTTGCCAAATTCCCCAGGATGATCTCGAATTCCTGGGCCCAGGGATCCTCTCACCTCCACCTCCCAAAGAGCTGGGATTACAGACGTAAGCCAGTTGCATCCAACAATGTGCCTGTTTTATCATTAGATTTCTTGAATGTGGGTTATCTGGTCAGTGACGGGAAGCAGAATTAACTCATTAATTCATTCACCAAACAATACACAGAGTCCTGGTGAGGTAAAGAACTTGGCTCGTAACATAAATTGAAGATGGGCCGGTGTAGGTGGGTCAGAGTATGAGATGGGGAGTTATATGAATAGTGAGATCGGCAGGGCCTTACAGGTAGAAGAGGAGGTGAGTCTTTACCCAGGGAGCAGTGGGAAGGAAGCCTTTGAAAGGTTTTAAACAGGAAATGACTTGAATGGATATATGTGAGAAATATCACACACACACCCCCGCCCACTGATAGATTTACTGTGACAAACGGATGAGATGTGAGTCTGGCAGGAAGAGATTTATGGTCAGTAAAACTGACAGAAGACTCTTCACAGAACTGGACTTGAAGGATGTGTTTGCCAGGAAGTGCATTCTTGGTGGAGGGAACAGTATGTATAACAGTATTTTGTCCTTCTGGAAGGCAAGAGAAAACCAAAGATTAGTGGACCCTTGACCCTTTATATCAGCAGGACCCAACCTTTTTGGCATCAGGGATGGGTTTTGTGGAAGACAGTGTTTTCATGAACCAGCTGGTGGGGAGGGGTGGGGATAATTTTGGGGTGATTCAAGTGCATTATATTTATTGTGCACTTTATTTCTATTATGATTGCCTTGTAATATGTAATGAAATAATTGTACAACTCATCATAATGTAGAATCAGTGTGAGCCCTGAGCTTGTTTTCCTGCGACCAGATGGTCCCATCCGGGGTGATGGGAGACAGCACTAGCATCACTGCCTCAGCTCCACCTCAGACCATCAGGCATTAGATTCTCATAAGGAGTGTGCAACCTAGATCCCTCACATGTGCAGTTCACAATAGGGTTCGCGCTCCTATGAGAATCTAACGACACCGCTGATCTGACAGCAGGTAGAGCTCAGGCCGTAATGCGAGCCACGCGGAGTGGCCATAAATACAGACGAAGCCTCACTCACTTGCTGGGTGCTCACTTCCTGCTATGCGACCTGATTCTAACTGGCCACAGAAGGTACTGGTCCGTGGCCTGGGGGTTGGGAGCCCCTGCTCTCTATGGTCCACATGCCCAGCTCACAAGTAACACCAATCCCTTCAGGCCCCTGCTCAAACATCACCCCCTCCTAAAGGCCATCCCTGAGCGGTCTCTCTAAAGAGTCACCCCAGCCCCTTTGCTTTATTCTTCACAATATTTATCACTACCTGAAATCATGGCACAAAGCTATTTACCAATTGAGCATTGTGGCTAAGCTTATCGAGCATGAAGCCGGACTGCCTGGGTTCAAATCCCAGCCCCACTACATGACCTTCACAGTTGCTTAACCTATGCTACGGATTGGGGTTAATAATAGTACCTATCTCACAGGGCTTTGAAAGCATGAATGAATTAGTGCGTGTACCAATGTTCTATCATTGCCTGCATTTTCACTTCCCCCAACACATCTCAATTACGTATTTTTTTTTTTAATTAAACAGAGTTACTAGAGAAAGAGAAAGGGAGAAAGAGAGAGACATGTCAGAGCTGACACGGGCGAGAGAAAACCCACCTCAATTTCGTATTCACACACTGTTTTCTCCAGTGACTCGTGTTCACCTGTTTAGCAATCTCCCTCCACCAAAACATAAGCTCTATTTTGTTTTCCATTGTCTCCCCAGTGCCTAGAACGGGATCCTGGTACAAAGCAAGCTCTGAGTTAAAAAGATGAAAGAATGAAAATGGCAGACAGGCCGGGAGGCCTAACGCTTTATCCTGCTTCATCGTTGCTGTGGTGACGAGCTAGCAATCTTGTTCCCACCCCCATCCGCCACACCCATTGGCCACCTGTATCTCCTGCTGTAGCATCCGGAAAACTCCCAGCAGGCCGGACGCCACCAGCACTCTCGCGTCCGAACCCCTTTGCTAATGGCGAGAGCCTGCGCGGTAAAATTCACGCCCCAGCGCTCCAGCAGAGCATGTGCTGGCCGCAGGGTGCTGAGTCAGGTTAGGGGGGAGGAGTGGGGAGCCTCTTTTACTCGCATTGTGCACCCCCCT